CACAGCGCAAAGCATTGGTAGCTGATTTCCTCACCACACCAACCTGAAATGAGTGAGAAACCAACCCTTGGTCATGCATTTGATCACTAAATACACCAATTTTTATTGTTTAATTCGTTTGATCACATATGAATTTCAAGTGTATAAGCCATTTCTCTGACAGGATAGGTCATAGGTTGATCATTGCAGCAGTAAATTTTGGTCCTGCTCCTGAGGTAGGATGAGTCATCTCAGCATGTGCAAATCAGAAGACGGACAATGTCCGGGAAGGCCTGACTAGCGTGCCTACAATTGATCAGGCACATCCCGCCTAATTATACCTGTCTGCTCCACATCTTCCACTTCCAATTAACTCCAGCATAATTGCTAGTCCGCTACTGCTCCATGCTTCTCAATGGATTCCGAGATTCTTGCAATCATCTCCCACAAATCAAGAGGCCGTTTCCTACTGATCAAGGATCGTTTTCAATCCCTAGCTATTGGTCCTCTAATAAAAGGGGATCATCAGATTCTTACCCAGCTACACTCTATCGCTCACTTACACTATTGCTGTTAGCTCAACTGTTGATACCACTTTCATCAACGCCTCTATGCTCAACTTGTTTGTACCAGCATTTACTCTCCACCTTTTTTTCACGATTACCTTTCTATTGAAGCTGCTAGTGCCCTGTTCGTCGTAATTGTAGGTTTTTAAAGCATTCACATATCACATCCAACGAATACAACTTCCAATTTTGATAAACAGTGTTATGTATATTATTGAAGCAGAAATTTGCTTTATACGCAACTAATATGAAAATCAACAGTGTACGAAACTAAAGCACCAGATGCGTAACTCAGTTTTAAAAATGGAAAAATTAGTTACTCACTTCATCACGATAAGATTCAACAGGATGCTTTCCGAGATCCTGTCTAAGTGCTTCAAAGATCTCCTCTTCATTTTCATCAAGGAGTTTGAGAATTGCTTGAAGCTGTGCTTTCCTCCATGCAACACTTCTTGTTCTTCTACTCCTGAATGCTGTCGTCACTTCACCTAACACATCTTCCTCAACTACATCCATGGCTTCAATTTTACTACACAAATAACACTCTTCTTCTCCCAAATCAAACTTAAATACTAAGCCCTATTACACATGCTCTGTTCCTTTCTCCCACTAAAATTTTGCTGTTGCTATCAGATAATCGTATCTTGCAAGCATTAAATGTTAGCGCGTCCCAATATAAAATTGCTCAAGCCTTGATTTCAACTCATTTGGGTAATAATTCAATGCGGATGATGTTATGATGCCAGTGAATAAATATATAAATTCTATATCCGACAAATTTTCAAAAGAAACTATGAACCAAAACTATACTATTGTGAATAATTACAACAAAATAGAAGATGTATTTTCAATTATTATAGTAAGATGCTACACCTACGGACCTAGAAAGATATGTGCCGTTAAGACATGGTTTTGAAATAATTAATTCTGTTTCTTTGAATATTTATTTGGACATATAATTTTGATCTAAAAGATGTAAACATGTAAAATTTTATAATTTCTAAAAATTATTAAAATCTTGGTCTTGTGATCTTATTAAATAATATATTACTAGAAGATCCTTTCTAAAAATTGTACGCTCTATTTAAATTTATTTGACTAGTTTTAATTTATACACAAAATTTAAAGAGAGTAAAAATGAAAACTGAATTTTGTAATTTTAATATATTCTTTAATTTTGTAATTTTAAATATTTTAAATAGTAAATCAGATTCAAAGAGTTGTAAGAAATGTTCTTTCTGAAATATATATATATATAAATAAATAAAATTAAGACAAATACTCCCCCCTTCTCTCTCTATCATTTTTCCTTTTATTTATCTTTCTTTTAACATAATATGTTCATTTAAAAAGATCTAAGAGATATTTAAGTTATTTTTTAATATTTATATATTTTATTCATCATTATCAAAATTAAAAATAAATGAATTATTTTCAAAATATATATAATAATAACATAACAATAAACAAATTTATCTTTATAGATGAATAAATAACTTGAAATAAATATTTTGAGTTGCATAAAAATAATATAAAATAGAAGTACTCTCTTTTAACAATAATTGTTTCTTATTAACTTTGTCCACTTCTTAAGAAACTATCAATAGAAGGTTAATTTTATTATATTACAATTTAAACATACTAAACACAATACCTAAAAAAATGTAATAGGAAGCCTTTCTTTATCTTCTTTCCCTCTTGGGAAAGAAAAAGATAAAAATTATAATTAATAAAAGGAGTAAATTAATAACTAAGGGATTATTTGGTAGAGTGTATAAAAATAATGTTTTATAGAGTGTATTAGCAATGTTTGCATTAACAATGGTTATAATAGTTATTTTGCATTAGTTATACACAGATTATTTCTTATGTGTTGTTTGATTTGGTGTATTAAAAATGACATGCAATGTAAAAAGAATTATTTGCAAAAATATCTTTAACAATTTTAGTGGAAAAGGTGTAAAAACATATTTTGAGAGGTAATTATGTCTTTAAATGCTAATGCGTGCATTTTAAATTCTTTTGCATTATAGTGTCTATAAAATTCATGGCATTAATAATACACTTCCAATTACATAATAGAGTATTTGTTATACTCATATTGTCATACATACAGTGGCGGAGCTACAGTAGGTTGAGGGTATCCAATTGGAGATTCTTTATCGGAAAATTACATCGTATATATTAGTAAAATAATATTGTACATAATTAAATAATGTATTTTGAACACCCTAAAATTACACTAAAATGTTATAGCCTAGTTGGATTCTACAACGCCGAGGTGCGCACAACTAGTTAATAGATCTTTTATTTTAAAAATAATTCAAAAAACAATATTATCAATTAAAATAATTATTAAAAGGTTCATAAGTAATACCTAAATCATAATTAATAAATCTTTTGTTTTTAAAATAATTCAAAAATTAATATTATCGATTAAATTAATTAAAGTAAAGAGTTGAATATTATTAATTAAATTAATTAAGAGAAAAAAGTTGGACTTTTGTTTTTTCTTAAAAAATTAAATAAAATTCAAAAGTAATTATTTAATTTAAATTTAATAAGCAAATTTCATTTATTTAATTTTTCTATAAAGCTACTAACATTTTGTTTGGGTCAATTGTTACGCATTATTTCATAATGTATTGTATTGTATTGTATGATAGATGCAAAGTTTGGTAGACTGTATTGTTTATTGTTGTTTAATAATATTTTAATTGTTTGGTTTGATATTATCGTTCTGTATTGTAATTTATAAATTTACTGAAATATCCTTAGTTATTCTAGGGTAGGAAGTTTGACTAGATTTGAATAATTAAGGTAAAGGGTAAAATAGCATTTTGAAATATTATGTAAAAATATAATTGAAAAAAGAAATTAAGTAACAATTGGAACACATCAAATTGGTTGTTTCATAAAATAGAGGTTTTCATTCTTACGTAACAACGAAATTTACATTTTAAGTAACAATCAAAACAAACATTGTGGATATAGTAACGATACAATATAATATAATAGATAACAATTTTTCAAACACAATGTAAAAGTAATAAAGGCTCCATATAAAATTTCTTTTAATAACACCCGTTTAATTCTACTTTTTATTTTTCATGTTTCATTGTTAGTCATCAGTGATTCATGAAATCCTGAAACGTAAAAGAGATTCATTCTAAATTAAATTCTCTTTGTTTTTTTTTGTCCATTCACATTCTATTAAATAAATATGAATATTAAAACTAAATATTCCGTAGTTGATTAAAAAAAATTTGGTATATTTTTTTATTAAAAGAATTAATCATTAATATCACATAGTTTGATTTACAAATTTTTTGTGCACCAATTCATTAAATATTTTTATTTACCTATTCAATTTTTGGACACCCTTCATAAATTTTCTGGCTACGTCACTGCATACATATCATAAAAAGGTACACCAAACAAGATATCTAATATAAAAGTTAACATATGCATTAATTTTACTAATACATTACATCAAACGATTTCTATGTGTAAAATAATTGATTGATTTCAGAAAGTAAATAAGTATTGTTAAAAAATTCTAAAATGATGTGATGGATAACTATTATTTGACGGAAGAATTAGTATTTTTTTAAGTTTAATTTTTCAGTCTGCGAATTATAAATATTCACGAACAAACAGCTAGATGATACACAGACACAAAAGTATTACTCCCTCCATTTTACAAATAATGATCTAGTTTGATTTGGTACGAAATTTAAGAAAATAAAAAATATTTTTGAATCTTATAGTTCTAAACTAAAGTTATGTCAAATATATAAATTATCCTTAATTTTGTGATCTTAAATATGTCACATTAAAAGTTAAAAATAAAATATTACAAAAGAAAAAATCATTCCTTTTAAACAGACTAAAAAAATAATACTCTTTTAAATGAACCGAGTAATCACAAGATCTAAATCCCACGTGGACAAGAAATGGCTGCCACGTTTCGTCTGAAATTGTGATTGGCGAATGGTGCTGGCCCCTCCTGCTATTATTAGTCCCATTTTATATTCAAGAAGCAGTAAATGCTTTAAACTAACTTGCTTCCTCAAATTTAAAACTATCATAATTATAATTTAATACTAGGACCGGTAAGAAGAAATTAGTTGTTTGGTCGAAATTAAATCTCTGACATTTAAGGATTTTTTGCTTGTTATTTCTTTTCAAATAATGACCTGATTAGACATTAATAGAAATTTTTGTAAAAATTATAATTTCAACCTCTCGATAGTTATTTCGTGTTATTCATGATTACTTATTGAAGTGGGTTTGAAAATTTTAAATTATTCTATAACTACAATTAATTAGTTGACATGCATTTATTAAGTAATTGATTTTAACTTAATTGAATGGGCCAAACTTACAATTAATGAAATATTTAATTTCACTTGGCCTATATTTAAAAAAGGTTAATGAATTTGTTACTTTTCATAAACAATTAACTTAAGAAAGAAAAAAGAAAGACGAAACATTTATGGGCGACAACTATGGCGGACGATCTATTGCATCAGGTAAAAGTCTCGCCTAATTGAAATGTGACTGAAGTATTATTATAATAATATATTATATTTATAATGGTGGGAAATTAAAAGGAAAGGAAATTAAGTTGCACAAATTCTCGTCCAAATTTGTATATGCTATATTAATATAGATTTGAGAAAATTGTAGTGCCAATCATTGAAAAATTACTATGGCAATCATTGGGTAATTATAGCAAAATAATTGTGTTGGAATAAATTGAGATTTTTGTTCTAATTAGCTTATACACTGGTCCGCATGTATGCATATATAATGATTATGGGTTTAGTTTTGGTCCACAAATTTCTTATAATTTTCAAGTTATAATTCAAGGTTTGATATATTAAGATATGTAATTAAATATTGATGTATTATATTATATGAAGATCATTAGAGTTGTAATTTTTGGAGAAATTATGACTTAACCCTAGATTTGAAAGTTGAAAAAATTTGAAAAGATTGACATGTTAATTGATCTCATGATTTATGAAATTGATCATAAATTAAGGGTAAATTGTTGGTTAAAATCTAAACACATAGTAGTGTAAATGTTGTTGTTAGTCGCAAAATCTTATTGTGATCATTAATGTGAATAGATTTCTATGAGTTGGACATTCAACGAAAGGAGAAAGCTCAAGTCTCGGAGTGAATTCTTGATTTGATTTAGGCAAGTGGATTTTTAAACTATTGTTAAGTGTATGAAATGCGTGTATTTCCTTATGGTATATGTTTGGGAGTAATGGAATTGGTGATGGGTTGACTTGTCCACATTGATTAATTATAATGATGAAAAAAGGGATAAAAAAAGGTGATGTGATTAATTGTTTATGTGATGTGTTGAGAAAGGGTTGAAGGCTTGTTGAATCATTGTTGATGTGACTTCATGTTTGTGTGGTTGTGAACTGTGCGATGTTATGAAAATGGTCATCTCCTCATTATTTGTGTGAGCTTGTCATCTGCATTATTCCGAGACCTTGGTTGTTACAAGTGTTATGTGCATTGAGAAAGAATGAGTACTTAAGAGGATGTACCATTTCGAGGGACGTATCGCGCGCCGCGATGGATACTATATTTCAAGGGACTTATCGCATGCCGTGATGGTTACTATTATCGAGGATCGTGTCGTGCGCCGCGACATATGCATGGACAGATATGTCCCCCATGGGTCTCGGACTGAGAGACAGCGGGTGTGTATCACTAGGTCAGACATGCATCATTATACTTGACATTGCATTCCATTGCATTGCACATGCTTATCATTAGTGAACTTGATATTGTGTTTTGCTGATCTTGTGAATGCCTTTCTGTGGAACTTGTGATTGATGAATACTGAGCTTGTTCTTGAGGATATAAAATTTGTTAAAGTGATGTTGTTGAGGATATGTAATTTGGCAAGGTATTGTTGTTAAGGATATGTAATTTGCTAAAGTATTGTTGTTGAGGATATGTAATTTACCAAAGTGTTGTTATGAGGATATGTAATTAGTCCAAGTGTCGTTGTTGAGGATATGTAATTTGTCTAAGAGTTGTTGTTGAGTTACGTGCTATGTAAACTATGAGCTGTTAGGTTGGGTTGATTTAATGCAGGTTGTAGTTGTGGAGGTTCGGTTGGGGATGGTAGGAGTACCCGTATATCATCCCCTTAGCTTGTGTTTAGAGGTTTACTTGCTGAGAATCGGGTCGTTTGGTACTCACCCCTTGCTTCCACAAATTTTTGTAGGTTATGAGCCTGGATTTTTGTTGTACTTGTCATTCTCTTCTTTTCCGAGGCTTCTTGGAGATTTGTGAGGTAGCTGTTTCCATCTCAGCAGACTTCCTTCTCCTTAATTGTGATTTTGTTATATTCTAAAACCAAGTTCATTTGAGACTTGAGTTTTCTTTTGTGTCAATTGTAATACTTTAGAGGCTTGTACACGTGACTACCAGGTTTTGGATTTTTTATTAAGTTACTTATATTTTATTTTCGCACTTTATTGTAATGGTTGAGTTTTAGGCTGACTTGTCTTGGTGGGATAAGACGAGTGTCATCACACCCATTTTTTATCGTGACATTTCCTTTCCGTTTGTATTATTGAAATTTAGATGTCTTAATCAGAATATTAATTTAATACTAGTATTTATTAGTTTAATTGAGGAAAGCTCTTAAATCTTATAGGAGTAGTCTTCTTTTAAGGTAAAGATATATTCTTTATCCTCTATTTGAAGTGTCTTTTAATTATGACATAACACATAAACATAATTCTTAACTTGGATTCAACGGATAATTATATCTTCCAACTTTGACTGTATACAAATAGATACTTAAACTTGTATAAAATTAAACAAGTAGATACACATATCCTACATGACATAACAGATGTAAGACGCCACATCGGACACAAAATTGCCATGTAGGGTGCCATGTAGGAGGAATAGATTTATTTGTTCAATTTTATATAAGCTTAAGTGTCTACTTGTGTACATACAAAGTTAAAGGTCATAGTTGTCTGCTAACACCAAGTTAAGAGTCATGTTTGCCTTTAATCTTTTAAAATTCATCTGTATTCAATGTATCGTTTCAACGAAATCAAAATCATTTGTATAATATAATTTTGTTTCCTTATGTATTTGTGTTTTAATATTTTTTGAGCTAATTAAGAGTCTATTGAATATATCTTTTTTATCCTATAAAAGGTACAAAATAAGATTTATGTACACTCAATTCTTTTAATTATATTATGATTATAAATGAGTATTTGCTATATTAACTATATAATGACATTCTTGTATGGAAGGGTCACCAAGAATAAAATGAAAATATTGTAAAGCAGAATTTTATAAATATAGAACGGTAACCCTTTTCTTTGAGTAGACTAAAAAACAAAAGCAAGCCTTATAAATTAAAGTGGAGGGTGATTGATGAAAATGTATATCAATACAATATTACAAAATTTATTAATTTAAATATGTAGTAAAAATAAATTTACTTGATGAACAGTCCAAAAGTCAGTAAGCAATGTCCTTGGTGGTTGAGTTATGAGGTGAGCATCGATGGTAAAGATGGTTAGTAGATATACCTAATAAAGAGAGATATACAATAATAACAAATGTCTGACAAAAGTCGGGAGGATGCTAGAGGTTAGATTCATTAATATAGGCCAGGTCTGTAGGGTTTATTTGGGCTAATTCAATATTTGATGAGGTTGAACTAAGATTTTTATAGTCAATTTAAGAAAAGAACTTTCTAGTCCGGTCTGAATAAGTCTGCTGGTTCGTGAGGCATGAGAAATATCGATAAGGGCGGTTCGCGGGTCAATAAAAATTAATTAAAAAATATAATATGATATAATATTAAAATTTAAAATTAAAGAGAGTCCATATTCAAAACAATTAGGTTAATATTTGTATTTAGATATTTATACGTTTACTTGAAGAGTTTATAAAAAATAATTTTATTTATTGGTTTGATTAACAAGTGTAACATTAACATCATATAATATTGTTATATCGATATTTATGATAATATTTTTAAATTATATTTACAATTTAATTTAATAATTATTAAAAAAATATATAATTTTTAAAAAAGGAAACTTTCACATATAACCACTTATAAGTAGTCTAGTTACTCGCCATAATTATAATTTGATAATTACAATTCATAGTTATATGTTATATTGAGGAGAGAGGAGAGAGAGAGGCGGAAAAGAGTAGGAGAAATGTGAATAGTATATGTATAAATATGTATTCGTATATATGACAAGCGAGACTGGGTGAGGGAAGAGAGAGAGAGGGCAGAGAGTATGAGAGAGGTGAACTATATATGTATATAATTGTGTGTGTGTGTGTGTGTGTATATATATATATAT